CGGCTCGAAGGTTCAGGTGAGTATATAATTTTTTGTTTCATCCCCAGACCAAAACAAGCACTTAACCCTTGCAGTTTTTTCTTTAAGCTCTCTGACATAAAAGTGTATGCATACCATCTTTATTAAAAAGCAAGATACCACACTATCAGCATAAACCTCCATGTCACTATAGAGGGTAGGAAGTGTCCTTCAGTATGTTACATTATATTGAAAATGTGGTGCGAAAATGAAAGTACAAAATAAATGCTAATATTTTTTCCCTAGATTGCCAAGGAAAAGATTACACATTGTCCATTAATCAAGGTGTGCTTGCATGCTGCTTGTAAATGACTAATCTCAGCAGGCACTAAGCTTTCCAACTGCCAACATACTGTTCTTTTGTATTAATCTTCAGAGTCAATGGATTGTGTCATGGTAAATACATTAAAAAAAATGCCAGTACAAGCTAAAGTCAACTGTAATCTTTACCAAGATAAGCTTAGCTGAGAAGGTCATAACATCCCAGCATCTCAATGTTCTGCTGCAAATCTGCTCAACCTCCAAACACCACTTGGGCTCCAAGGAAATGTTGATGCTCGGTTCAGGCTCATGTCTACCCACACACAGTGCAAAATAGTAAGAAAACTCCTGCACAGAGCTCAGAGTCCCCATAAGTTTATAAATAGATGTACAACTCCATAAAAGCATTTACACCAACATGCTTCCGCCAGAAGGATCTTAGTTATAGCTGGTGGGTCAAGTTGTGTTTAAAACTATACCTAAATGAAACCGATCATGACTAATATATGGATGCTGCCATTACTGAATGGTCTTTAAGGTGAAAGCTCCGGGGTTATCATCTTTTTTTCTTCCAGTTTTTGGTAAATTATGGGATTGGAACAAGCATATGATGTCTGACACATATTTGTTCTTGGTCAGTGACTCCCAAGTAGCTAAGAAATTGCAAGGATTAGACCCCCTGAGTTCAGGTCAATAATGGAAGCTTCTATATATTTCTATCCTCACATGTTCACTTTAACCATGTGACTGCAAAAGAAATATAGAAAATGTAACCCTCTGCATGCTTTTAAAATGTGTATCCTGCCCCTGATTTCATAGCTCACCTTAAAATATAATCCAAACAACAGTCATAGGGGACTGGTGAACTCCTGTTCACCAACTTCCTCTTTTCCTAACTGAGTCCAAGCACAGGGATCTAGAGGAGTTAGAATCACAGGAGGCATGTGGGGTCCAAAAGAACCTGCCACTACTTTTGTATACTGGGAGTGTGTTACCTTTTCTGTGTTAAAGGAAACCTGTTATACATGGCATTGATTAAAAACTTGTACAAGCATGTATTACAGAAACACAACATTTATATATACTGTGCAGGTGCATCTTACATAAACATAATGCATATGATTTTGTTGTGTTGGTGTGTAATGAACAAACTTTGTTCCCACTCCATGTGACATGACTGGGCCAAATCATCAGTGCTGTTACATGAGAAAAGGAGGAGGGAGTCATTGCTCCTCTAGTATTTTCATGCTCCTCAAGTATTTTCTTTACATCTAGCACACAAAGTGAGAACGCGGAAAAAAGGAAAAAAGGTTAAGTATGTGGTGCTAAAGAACAGGGCAATAAAAATAACATTTGGCTTTGCCCTACATGGGCAAAGCACAGGTTTGTTTTAAGCTAGACAGCTAAAAAGTTCCAAAAGGTGGTGCTCAAGGTGAATTCCGAAATTCAGGTGCACTCCCTTCTATTATAAAAGAACTGCCCTTCTATGTGAAGGGTTGAGTTTGAATACTCAAACTCACAAGGACACCACAGCTTATCACTCGTAAGGATAGGAACATGGTAGTTGCTATTGCTGACGTGTATTAAAAGCTGCAAGCCCCAGGGCCTTCATCCTGATCCTGGCGTAACTACCTAGTAGTAATACCTGATCTAGAACAAACATGAAGCCACTGAAGTATACAAAAACCTGAATTCCTATCCAGCATATTTGTTCCAAGTTGGGTAGACACTAGAAAGCAAATCAGGATCAAGATGACAGCTCCATAGCATGTAAAACAAAGTTTAGAAATGGCACCCACCTATATTCTAACTTCACAGTTTTCAATTATATGATTTGCTTTGCCGTAATTGTGTTTCAAAAATATGAAACTTGCACCAACCTTCTCAGCAAATACTGGGTTTCCTGATATCTCAGTTAAATGGACAAATTCCAAGTGAAGTGTTCCAAATTCTGCCAGGATACTGCTGCCTCCTGAAGCCCAAGGCCAATTCCGACCAATCCCACTAAATATCAAGAGATAGAGGATATGGGGGTCAGAAAATGAGATTCATATAACAAACTGTGTAATGAAATAACATTAAAATATATTATTGACTTCCTAATGCTTAACATAAAAAGTAAGGTGCAGAAATAAAGCTGAGCAGAATCTACATATGAAAAACATTAGTACAGGTTTGGATGGAGCTTTACTGCCATAATAAAAAAAATAAGATTTTATTGAAGAAATAAAGTTAGTTATTGCAGTTAAAACAGTTTTAATGGTACAAATGAGAAATCTGTATGCAACACATCTTAAAAAATATTATGCAGCTTCATAATGTATACCAATTCAGTTATGAAAATGATGTAATTTTTTAACTTACCCTTGACTGTAAAATGTTGAAAACTAAAATCAAATTTGCAAGATATTAACAGAATACATTAAGGGGAATTTATAAAAACTGTAGCAGACAAAATCTGGAGCTGCCTTGCATGGCAGCCAATCAGCACCCAGCTTTAATTTTCAAACCTTAACTGAACAAACTGAAGAGAAGCTGATTGCATGTCATAGGCAACTGCTCTAGATTCTTCTGCTCCAGTTTTTATAAATTCCCCCCATTATACTGTATGTAATATTTCACATGCATAAATCTTAAACGGTCTTACAAAGTACTACAATATAATTATAGTGTGAACTATAGTGGTTATATAATATAAAAGCTTGCCCAGGCACCTAAAAACAAGCAAGAGGTGTCTGCACAAACATTTGGTAATTTTTCTAAATGCCTGTAAGGCCCTAAAAACCACAGCAAGAAATATGCAAATATCCACTTCTAGCTTCAACGCTGGAGCTACAGTATTTATTTTTTTCCCCAATAAATTTGTATTCAAATATTTTTTCCTCAGTAGACAATCACAGCAATGATCAAAGTTGATCGAGAGCATGAGTCAAAAAGGTACAAAAACAACATAGAACATCGACAATTATTGTAATAAATTCCAATTTGCCATCTCGTGAGGTCGGCATGACAAAACATTACAGACATCAAACATATACTCAGATGTTTAGGGTTATATGGAGAGGAATAGCGCCTCTAGTGGAGTAGATGTATAATTTGTGGGAGAAGGTAGGACCTGCCGATGGTTCCAGTCAGCTGGGGGGGGCGGTATGGGGTTGGAGGAGTGGCCCACCACGGCTTCGTCGTGTGGACCCCTACTCCCGGAGTCATAAGGTGCATCCGCCTCTTAAGATGAGCAGGTCTATGGGGGTTTCCCCCGTACTCTCCCCATCCATGGATCTACAGTACTATGCCCCTTTACGATGTGCATGTCTATGGGTCAGAGAGGGAAAGAGCATTGCATTAAGGGTGCGACTGAGCTTAAAGTTTAAAGCCCATTTCTACCTTTGCTGAAGTATTTAAAAAAAACAAAACATATGCCAGCAATGTACACTAAGTGACTGCATATGCCAGTTGCTGTATATGAACACAGAAACTTACATTTTTGAATGGCTGCCTCTGTGCTTTGCAAGCAATGTGTGTACATTACAAGTGACTTCTCCACCCCCCACTCAGTAGTATTCATAGTACCCCCTTCCCCCGCACAGTGTATTGCGATCAAAGGCAGAGCTGGTGTTTAGGGATCGTGTTACAATGAACAGGGAGGGGGAGAGCTGTTTACAGCCTGCTTTACATCTGACCCTGGTGTCGGACAGAGTTTCCTATGGAGAAAATTTTTAATTTCTAAAATTTAGGCCTAATAAAACTTTAATTAAAAAAAAAAATGAAAGTCTGCAATGTGAGGCATAAACATGCACATAGTTACATCACTGCACCTCTACATTACCACGATAAATGCTAACCACTTAAAAAAGGTGGAAATGGACTTTTAAGCTGGATGTTGCAATTTGTAGGTCTGAGGTCACCAAAAAAAAAAAAAAAAAAACCCTCAAACTTCTAGATAAATGGGGGAAAAAAAAGAGTGAAGTGAAAGGAGGTAAAGATGATTTTAACACAGAGGTTTCACAACTGCTATCTACAGACTGCAAGAGAGCTGTGCAATGAGAAAAACAATAGCATACAACAGCCTCCATGCATGAGTACTATTAGATGGGATATCAAGAGTCACGTTAAAAAGATAAGGTCATCAGAATAAACATTTATTTTTTAATAATTAGAAATAGATAATGGCCATCTGGGACCAAAACAAAAATGGAAACAATGGTAATGGGTGACAAGACTTCAACACCTTCTGTGTACACATACCCTCACTTCTCAACCTGTCCCCTTTCTTTTCATCACTGTTTCCTGCCACATCAACAAAACATGCCTCCCCCTTATGTACAATGAAGGGAATTTATCAAAACTGGAGCAGACAAAAAGCGGAGCAGCTGTGCATGGCAACCTATCAGCTTCTCTTTCATTTCAAATCTTGACTGAACAAACTGGAGAGAAGCTGATTGGTTGCCATGCACAGCTGCTCCAGATTTTCTCTACTCCAGTTTGATAAATTCCCCCCAATCTCTCTCTCACCCCCCACCCCTCCCCACCCCATGTGTCCTGCCCATCACTATTAGATTCAGCCTTACCTCTCTCCGATACAAATTCCCACCTTCCCTCTATGCATAAGGTGTACCCTACATATGCAACTCCACGTGATATACCCACCCATCTTCCTCAATCCAATACACTATACAGGTGAAACTCGATTAGAATATCGTGCAAAAGTTCATTTATTTCACTAATGCAACTTAAAAAGGTGAAACTGATATATGAGATAGACTCATTACATGCAAAGCAAGATAGTTCAAGCCGTGATTTGTCATAATTGTGATGATTATGGCTTACAGCTCATGAAAACCCCAAAACCACAATCAATACATGCAATCAATAAAACAAGGATTGTGCATAGAACAATATCGCACCTCTGAAAAGTATAAGCATGCATATGTACTCAGTACTTGGTTTGGGCCCCTTTTGCAGCAATTACTGCCTCAATGCGGCATGGCATGGAAGCTATCAGCCTGTGCCACTGCTGAGGTGTTATGGAAGACCAGGATGCTTCAATAGCGGCCTTCAGCTCTTCTGCATTGTTCGTTCTCATGTCTCTCGGCAATGCCCCATAGATTCTCTATGGGGTTCAGGTCAGGCGAGGTTGCTGGCCAATCAAGCACAGTAATCCCACGGTCATTGAACCAGGTTTTGGTGCTTTTGGCAGTGTGGGCAGGTGCCAAGTCCTGCTGTTTCATCAGAGAAAATGACTTTACCCCAGTCCTCAGCAGTCCAATACCTGTACCTTTTGCAGAATATTAGTCTGTCCCTGATGTTTTTCCTGGAGAGAAGTGGATTCTTTGCTGCCCTTCTTGACACCAGGCCACGCTCCAAAAGTCTTCGCCTCACTGTGCGTGCAGATGCACTCACACCTGCCTGCTGCCATTCCTGAGCAAGCTCTGCACTGGTGGTGCCCCGATCCTGCAGCTGAATCAACTGTAGGAGACGGTCCTGGCGCTTGTTGGACTTTCTTGGGTGCTCTGAAGCTTTCTTCTCCACAACTGAGCCTCTCTCTGTGAAGTTCTTGATGATGCGATAAATGGTTGATTTAGGTGCAATCTTTGTAGCAGCAATATCCTTGCCTGTGAATTCCTTTTTGTGCAAAGCAATGATGATTGCACGTGTTTCCTTGCAGGTAACCATGGTTAACAGAAGAGCTTCCAGTCTGTTATTCTAACTCAGTCAGCATGACCTAGTGGTCTCCAGCCTTGCCCTCGTCAACACTGAAGGACCAGCTGACATCACTGGCATGTCAGCTGGTCCTTTTGTGGCAAGGCTGAAATGCAGTGGAATAGTTTTTTTTGGGGATTAAGTTCATTTTCATGGCAAAGAGGGACTTTGCAATTAAAGGCAGATATTTTTCCCCTCCCCCAATGTTAATTAAAGCACTTACCTTAAATTATATTTCTTAATCCAATCTTCTTTCCTGTCGTTTTCATCTGTCCCTCCAGAGGGTCTCTGATCCAGCGACAACTCCTCTGTCCTTGCTGGCACTTCCTGTCCCACGGTGTCTGCATGCGGGTGCACGCCGTCCATATACTTACCTTGTGTCTCTCCTCGTCTCCCGGCCAAAAATGTGAGCTGCACATGCGTCAGCCCCAAGATGCTTTGCGGCTGCCCGAGAATTTTCACATTTTTGGACGGGAGCGCGCGGGGAAGACACAGGTACGTTTAAACCGTTTTTAAATGTGGAAACACATTGCATTCATATAGTGGAGTTTCTCTAATTTGACTGTAAAAGTGGAACCCACACTATGTGTATGTTGTGTTTATTCTCACAACATGCTTTTCTGAGGCATTGCGTAAAGTTGAACTCCAAGAATAAAAAAAACAAAAACCTTTGAAGTGGGGCCCATCACACTGCAATGGTTAAATGCTTGTCAAGTCCAGGGGTAGAGGAATAAGCTGCATTACTTACCTTATTCCTTGCTCCTTATTTTAAGCGAGTACTCCCCTCCTCTCGCCAAAGCTCTAGGTTGTGGGTAGGCCTCCCTGTCCTCACATTGAATGCAAAACTATTTATCCTAGACCTGTTAGTTTTAACATTTTTGTTTAAATCATTTTCTTGATTTTTCAAGAAAAGAAATGCATACATTTTCTATTTTTTCCCCTGCAAAATAATTGCATTTCCCCCCCAAAAATTAGACATTACTTGGTACTGTAAAATGTATTAAAAAAATATGCAAATCAAAAGGGCACACAATAAAAATGTTAACCTTGCTTTAGTCCATATGGTGTTTACAGGTGCTGGAGCTCAAATGGTTACCGAACCATACGAGATCTTCAAGAAAAGGAGTACGGTAGTCTCATCTGTCATTATATGCAAGATCATTGTCCAATTTTGTGCCAGTTCCCAGTGAATTTTAAATTCTGCTCCCCACATGCTTGCTAAAATGATTTCACAAAGATTCAGCTGCTTTGTAGGATAACAGGATGAAAGCTCAGTTGCAGTGTTTTTTGCCTTGGTTCTGCTCTTATAAAATCATTCTTACAGAAATGGGAAACAGGCCAATTTAAATCACGTACCACATTCAAAATAGCTTATTACTTACTAATTGTTGCTCTAAATGCTGTTTATGTATTCAGAGAGACCTCTAATGCTTTAAATGATATTTTCAGCCTTGCAGCCAAAACCAAAACTACATAATGAGGAGTACCTTGGATGATATTATTTTAACACACCACAGAAGGCACAGCCTACAGGCTCAGTCAGGAAACATTTCAAATAAAACAAAGCCAGCAAAACCCAAAAGGAAACTATCACATCAAAATTATTCAATAACTATTATAACAGTTTTACATGTCCCTGATTTTGTCCAAACACATTGTTATATGTTTTTATTTATTTAGTTATTCTTTGATAAAAGTTACCTAACCTAAAAAGGTATAATAACTTGAAATCACTGACTTGCAGAAAACACTGGTATGCTATATCAGATAACCAAATACCTAGGTGTTGGTCAGATCTCAACTGAAGGGGCTCAGAAGATGAAATTTGAGTTGGCCATTGAGCACTTCCACCTGAACTCTGAATCTTCAGCTTCAGTTAAGAGCATATGAACAATGTGGAAGTGTGGAATTGCATTTTAAGGGTAAATGATAAAACCAGGAGTTAATTTTCAGAAGAGGATTGCAGTAGGTAGGTATAATGTGTAAATTACAATTACTTCTGTGCTGCCATTTTCACAATACAGTACTCCATGCTGTGAGCATGATGGTCACATTGGTCAACTACTGTTGGTCTCTACCTCATTTGAATTGAAGTAGCGAGCACAATAGAATAATATTCTGTTGTTCTTTAGGTAATTCATGGTTTCTAACATCTATGAAATTTACAGTTTTGACACCCTTATGAAACAGTAGAGCTCTGTACAACAAAGCATGTTTTGTAACATACATTCGTACTTTCACATTTAAGATTTTGTGTCTGAACCTTCAGAAATGCACTGAGACAGAAAAAAGGCAAAAGTTGACATTAGCAATTTAGAGATTTTGATGGCTTAAAAAAACAAAAACAAAAAAAAAACAGGACAATCAGTTTGTAATTGCTTATTGATTTGCATGTTCCCGTAACTATTCTGGAATTCACACGTGGTGACTTGACTATTCATTGTTTACGAACAGTTAGGTACAATAAACAATACAGAATCTGATAACAGGAGCGGAAGTGATATTTTAATATCAGTAAATGCAGTAGAAGAAATCTTTCTGTACAAGGTCAGCTACACATACACATATACAGTAGTCAGCTGTGAACAAACTTCACTTAATTAAACTGTTCCAGCAAAGGGCTACATCATATCTATGTTTTCTACAGACAGCACTCTCAAGACAGCATGGAGAAAATACAGAGCTTTGATATGTACTCAGACAGACTGGCAATAGGAAACACTCCAGGGTCCATCTATTTATAACAATACCAATGCAGACATGGGCTGCATGATGCTCTAGGGCAGCTCATTTTCCCAGCCGCTGTAACTGGCCTCTGGTAATTATCTGAAGCTTGAGAGCTGTGGCTCAGATGGTCCTACAACTACAGTGTCTGAGCTAGCTGGCAGCATTGTCACTTTATTTACCAACAGGTTTAATCACAGCGGCAGAAATGGCAAAATTCCCTATCATTTCAGAAGTTGGCAGAAGCATAAACAAAAAGCAGTGTGTTGTCAGTGAAAGTTATCACAAGCAGAAAACTTTCCTGTATAGCTATCATTTTTTTTTATTACTTTTTCAGCTGCTGCTAAGGGACTTGTAGATAGAACTGCCTAAGGAATTAAGTTTCTCAGTATCCTGACACTTGTTTTTGGCATTAGAGAGACAAACTTATACTCCGTTTTACCATGGCAATGGGTAAAAATCTAAGTCAGCCGACCCAAAAGTGATTTTCGATATAGGAGGCTACTGGTGGGCTAATTTAGTCTTCTTAAAATAGAAGTACGGCCAATCCTTTTTTGGCATTAGTTCTCTTTTGGGCCCCTGGAGGACATTTACTAATGTCCTCATGTGACCCAAAACTTAGCAAATAGCAGGCTATTGTACGCTATCTGCTGACAGCGTAGAGACATGCTGCAGCAGGGACGGATCCTGACAAAAATTGTCAGGATCCACCCTGACAATTAACAGCTGGCTCTGCCTCTCTAAAGCCAGAGCCAGCTGTGCCCGACCTCTCCCATGTGTCTGTCCAATCAGAGATGTAGGAACAGAAAGGGGAGGAGGGAATCCCTGAAGGGAGTGGTGGCTGACAGTCAGCACTGTCTGCAGGGAGAAGATCGTGAACGGAGAGTTCAGAGGTTTGTGAATGCTCAGTTCTCGGTCAATAAAGCCGACGTGTGACAGCTGCAGTGTCACACATCGGCTCTAACCATGGGGATGAGTGCATTTCACTTTCCAAAGAGTTCTCCTTTAATAGTGTAGGATAGAGAATTGAAAGTGACAGGGGTGTGGAAATAAAAAAAAAAAAAACTACTTGTCCAAGGGCTAAAGAGGGGGCCAAATCTACTAGTCCCAATACAAAAAAATAGTTTTAATCAAAACAAGGGATGCACCAATAGCGGTTTTTCAATATCGAGTACCGATATTTTGCTTTCGGATCTCGCCGACACTGAATACTAATACCGGTGCTTCCACTGGCATTTCCTGCTCACCAGCATCTCTTGTCGCATTTTCCATGAAGAAAACAAATTTAAAAAACAGAAAAAAACTTTTAGGCAATGGAAACAAACAATGGTCCTCATCTAACATAATTTAACATTTTTGCATTTGAAATAATATAGATAATATACAAGATATGAACCTATATCTATGTTCAATATGCTGTATTTATGACCAGCATTAACATTCCTTAGCCATCATGTTCCATACTTGAAAATCAAAATTTTCACTTCACCAATCAAGTTTTTTTTCCCCCCCATTTTTTTTTTTTTACTTTCGAGGCAAAGTCTCTTTGATTCAGAACCCTACAGTTAGAATAGCAAAAGCAGTACTGGGATATTTGCAAGGCTGCTGTAGCAATAGAGCATGAGGTACTGAATCCATTCATGATGATGTAGTAGTTGCCAAAGCAGTGGTACTATACTCACATGGACAGGCCCGTGTCAGATTTAAATGTGTTAAAAAACGAAAAACGAAGAGCAGTTTCAGTGAATGCAAAAGTCTCCAACATGTAAATGGGCATGCAAGACAGGTTAAATCTGTGATATCTGTAACGCTTACATGACCAATGCAAAATTATGCTGGTGAGTACAGTAAAAACACTGTATATACAAATATATATATATTACAAAACAAACATCAAATCATCCTCCCAAAACAAAAAACATTCAGTGCAAAAATGACAGAGGGACAAAAACAGGAAAGGAGATCTTGATGGCTAAACATATGATTAACCTTTGGATTATACATCTGAAATTTCTAGTCTGAAATGATTTAGAAAGTTGCTGATGTTCACGGTACAATAACTATAATTTGTCGGTACAAAACTGACAAATTATAGATTGTTGATCTGAGTGGGTTCTGGAGATTGTAATAGTTTATGCTTGTCTAGTCACATATTTCAGACTTACTCAGAATCTTAAAACATGCAATGTCTTTAAATATTTCAA